CTGGACTGGGGGGCCCTGGGGCTCCGTGGGGGTCTGGACTGGGGGGCCCTGGGGCTCCGTGGGGGTCTGGACTGGGGGGCCCTGGGGCTCCGTGGGGGTCTGGACTGGGGGGGCCCTGGGGCTCCGTGGGGGTCTGGAGTGGGGGGCCCTGGGGCTCCGTGCATGTCTGGGTGGGGCTGCACTGCACAGGCTCAGACTCCAGCCCCTGCTGGGAGCTGCCCACAAGCTGTCCAAGACAAAGTGGTCAGAGACTGATGCCTCTGGCCCCGCGGGGCCACTCCCTGGGCTGCTGCCCCTGCAGGCGGCTTGGCCTTCAACAGCTCACTCACACTCATGTGCTCACAGAGGCGCACACATGCACACATGCACACTCACGCACTTTCTCGCGCACGGACACTCTCACCGCTGCAGCAGCCTCCACAGCACTGAGGTGTCTCTCCCAGCTCCTCCGGTGGGGTCTCGGGCACTGCCCTCTGAGTGGACAGTGAAGTCGCTGGCCTCAGGCCTCTCAACCAGCTCTGCTCGTGGTACATCCACAGCACAACTAAGCTGGCCGGTCTCATTTGCTTCTGACTGTACTAGTATTTGTAGTTGACGCTTGCGGTGCAGTTATATCACCTGCGCATGTGGTTGAAAGATCAAATGAACAAAATCTAAGTTGATTGAAAAAATCTGGACCGCAGTGCTAGTCCCCCTCCCCGGGATGCGTTTCACTGCCCGCACGCCGCCATGTCTGGAACCTGCCCTGTTAGACATCCTGGTCTTCTGTTGGAACATCCTCGCCTAAGAGCGGGGGGCTCTGCCTGGCTCCCCGCGCCAGGCCCTGGCCCACCCGGTGATCAGAGCAGCTTCTCCTGCCCTGCCAGCTGGTCTCCTCCAGGGCACAGGGCGTGTCCCTTGCGATGACCTGGTTTGGTCATTTGTTACTATGGCGGGGATGCAGGGACCGGGCATGGCGCGATTTTCCTTTGCATTTGTAGTTTACCTTTGGGGTAAATCCCGGGATTGACCCGCCACAGGAAAGTACTTGCTCTTTTGCTGGATACTGTGAGGTTCTCCGACTCAGACTTGGGGCCTCGGGGACCGTCTCGGGTGAGCCTGGCTGCCCAGGCCCTCGCCGGAACGCACCTGCCACGGGTACCGCCGAGACTCTGAGACTCTGGAACGGTCGCTCGCCTGTAGGTGAAGTAGTATCTCGTGTGATGCAGTTCAGCATACTCAACTGTCCCGCTCACACTGGCTTGTTTATTTTTCTCTATTTTGTGTGAATCTTGGCATCTTTTTACACTTCAAGGGGCATTTGTGCTTCTTGTTCCTTTGAGCTGCTCATCACGTGTCTCAACTGTCTCTTGCTGCTTGGCCCTCTCCATTTCTCTCATTGGGAAATGTCTTTGACACAAGCTGTGCAACTTCTGTCCACTGACAAATTCCGGGCGGATGGGAACGCTCTGAAAAATCAGAGTTTCCACTGCTGATTTATGTTGTGATCTCCCTTTTTTTGTATAATCATAATATCAAAAATATTGTAGCAACATCAGTTTGTAACTGGATTGCCTTAGCTCTAAATTGGCTACCTGGCCTGGGCAAAGTACAAGCTGAGCTGCTCCTGGGCAGGAAATTCCTTTGTCTGGAAACAAAAGGCAAGCTCCTGAGATAAGACTCTGGCAGATAAGAGATAAGACCCGGAGCATCAAAGCATCAGGACTCTTGGAAAGCTTCCTTGGTCTTTTGACAAAAAGCAAATCTTAGATAACTCCCAGGGCATAAGGACAGGACCCATGGGCAATTTCCTAACATTATCAAAACAGGTTTTGCTTAATGCATAACTATGTGACTTCCTCTTAATTTACTCCTTTCCTAAAACAATCACTGACTACTCTCTGCTAGTCTTAATTAACCTTTTCCTAAAACAAACACTAGCTACTCTCTGCTAGCCTTAAGTTAACCATTAGCTTTTCTTTAGACTCTCACTGACGACTATGCTAACACAATTTATTCCTTCCCTAGGACTCCTAAATCCCTTGCTACCAGCTCATCCTTTCCCAGGCCCTGATCCTTTGAAGTTAAACATCCGTTTACATGAAAGCTATCACAAAGATGGATAGTCTAGTGTGCCATAAAGTGGAAGGAAGAAGATGCACTGTTCCCCTCTTCCTTTAGAACTTTTATGCTGATTTCTTATTAACTTTCCAGCTGCATTATTGTAACTAACTCTTGCAAAACAGTATAAATAAAGACCTGCAAAAAGATGAGCAGGAAGACTTGCACCCAACTCCGACTCCACGTCTTCCTCGCACCTGCTCCCCTTTTTCCCTTTAGGAATCTCCGCTGACCAACACTGCTCCCACCTTTGGACCCTGCCTGTTCTGCCCCCCAATAATCTGTGATCGGGGGTGGTCCCCGACAGTCTTGAATAGCAGGGAAATAAAGTGTCCTTGGTAGGAATTGGTAAAAAACTTTCCCCAGTTTGTGTGTTACCTTGTCCATGGTGTTTTTGTTTCATGTTATACCTTAGAATTTTCTATAGTCAGATTTATGAGTCTCCTCCCTCCTCTATTTCAGTTGTTTGAAATACTTTCATTTCTCACATTACGAAAATTGTTCCACATTTATTCTTTTATTTATATGGATTAAACTGTTTTTAAGATTTATTTCTTTATGCACACAGAACTGGGGTACAGGCCAGAGGTGCAGGGGCAGTGAGAGGCTTCACCAGAGACACAGTGGGGAGCAGAACAGGCTGACTGATGAAGCACACTGCTGAGGGGAGCAGCGGGGGGGTCAGGAGAGGTCTGCCGCGCCCTGTGGTCACCTCCGGGGCAGGCGGGGATCGAACTCATGCGGAAGTGACTTCAGCTCCTTCGTGCTGTGCTTTAATCTGCTGCGCCACCAGGGAGGGCCCAGATTAAATTTTTTAGCTTCAATTTGTAATCTGTTCAGTGTGAGGGGCCTTGACCAGCAAGGCCGAGGATTGGGGTCCCAGGGTCAACGAAAGGAGAAGGCAGAGCCTTGACCTTGTGGCGGGCCTTGACCAGCATGGCGAGGGGGTAGAGTCCCAGGGACAGCGCGAGGAAGAAGGCAAAGACGGAGACACGTGCGAGCGTCCTTTATTCTTACAACAGTCATATATATACCTGAGGGCGGCACAGCAGGTACGGGCAGGGGGTGGTCTGGTTGTCTAATGTCTTAAAGGCCAATGGGTTTGAGGGGAGGGGGCCGTCGTCATCTTAAGGGAGTCGACACTTATCTCATCTCATCTCGGGAGCCAGAGATAAAACCTATCTCAGGCGCTGGAACTTGCTGAGCTGGAAGGGAAAAGAAGTGGGGGAAGGGATTCAGGTGTGCTGTTTTCTCAACCGGGATATTTACCCTAAGTTCCAATCAAGTGTTGTTTTGTGCATAGGAGGCAAAGTCCTGGTCTTGGTCCCCAACAGTTTCCTTTCTTGTGATGTTATTACCCCGATATTGCTGACGGGCCCCTCTTTCTCCCCGTGGATGCCAGACGCTGACTGATCAATAACATCATGATACCAAATGCTGAATGAATGTGAAGAAAGGCAGTCTGACCTGTCTCGAATATTTCTGAATTGTTGGTTGTGTTTGTTACACCATACAGCAAACTTACGGCCTTGTGTAGCACCCACTGCGCCTTCTGCCCGGGAGGCCCGTCCCCTCATCGCTCCTGGCCCTGACGCTTCAGGCTCATTTGCTGTCTTCATGCATCGCACTGGTCATCTCCTCTGGTCATTTGATGAAGTCATTTGTCCAAGTTTCTCTTTCTTCTTAAAATTCAATTAGTGGTTGTCTATTTCCACTGTTTTCAGTAAAAACATGGCAGGACTTAGACATGCAGTCCAACAGCTTCAATCCTGTCTTTATCGATTCGTTATGTTCGTTGTCACCAGCTTCGCTTTACTTTGATGTACCTTGATGTACTTTCAAGCTTTCTAAAATGAGAATCAAATCATTTTATTCTTGAAATTTTTCTTGCAATGCATTCCTCTCTGATCATCTCCTTAAATAAACCCCACAACTCTGATATATTTGATACTAGGTTAGAAGGAAACACCACAGGTACGTTGCTGTTTAGCAACACCAACATTCTTCTTTGTTTTATTAGGATTTGAAGAAATCATATCTCCATTTTCATATGGATTTTCAACACAAGCTGCTTAATCGCACATAGTTTGTCTTGCAGATGGAAACATTTTTTCTTTCTATAAAATCCATTTCGGGCCCTCCTGGTGGCCCAGCGGGTTAAGGTGCAGCCCTGCAAGCTGGCCGCAGCCGCTTCAGTGCAAATTCGATCCCCAGCCTGGAGGTGACCCACGGGGCGCGCGGACCTCTCCCGTGTCCCCGCTGCTCCCCTCAGCAGTGCACCTCCTTGATCTGCCCGTTCTGGTCCCCACTCTGATGCTGGTGAATCCTCTCGCACCCCTGCACCTCTGCCTGTACCCCACTTCTGTATGCATAAATAAATAAATATTATTATTTTAAAGAATAATAATAAATAAATAAATCCATTTCTCTTCCTGGTGGAGTCAGCGAGCAGCTGTCCCATGCGCATACATGACCGAAGTCTGTCACCGCCACGCGCGTCTGCAAAAGGCCTGCAGTCGTGGCCCGGCTCAGTGGCTGGGAGGGCTGGTCTGATGACACGGGAGCCCTGGGGCGTCCTCTGTAGGTGGCTCTGGTCTGGGCCCCAGCCCCCGCCCAGGCGCTGGGTGGCTGTGAGCCACCCGGGCGGGGCTCACCGCCTGTTCTCGGGCGAAAAGGAGCCTCGGGGCCACCCGGTGCCCACGCACTCACGCAGGTCGCACGAGGCAGGAGCCCTGCCAGGCAGCCGGCGGCCGCCTGGGCGCCTCTCACTGCCCGGAGCTAACGCGGGCACGGCGCCAAGGTGCCCGGCCCGCGTGTCGCCTGGAGGTGAAAGGAGCTGGTCAGCTCGTGTTCCTGACAGAGTGGACGCAGTTACCCACGGTCCTCCTGCCTCCTCACAGGACGTAGCACAGACAGCTCGTGGCCGCGGCCTCCTGCTCGTGTCTCAGACACAGGAGGAGGCGGTGAAGCGAGGGGAGGAGCTGGCCACGGCTGCGCTGGACGCCTGCCCGCTAGCGCATCACGGCGACCTCAGAGAAGCTCTGCGCGGGGTGTCCGGTGGCCCCGGGGCCACGGTAGAGCCGGGCTGGTGGGGGGGCTCATCTCCTGCGTGGCCGTGACTTCCACCTTGACCGCCTGAGCCCCACGGTGTTGGGGTTCGCTCTAGAGGGTGCCTGGGCCCCGTTCTGTGATGTGGAGAAGGTTCAGCTGAGCCGTTCCCCGGGCAGGGGATAGCGTCCCCAAAGCTCTACCAAGTTTGTACTATTAGAGGCCGATATTTCAAGTTTTTCCTCAGCATTTTGGGAAGTTTCAGCAGCCATGAGACCACCAGGAAGTCCTGTCAGATTCGAAAGTCTCAGCTTGGGTGGATGGAGGGGGACCCCGGAGACTGTTGTCATTGGGTTCTGGGGACCCCTGAGGCTCAGGCCCAACTTGGAGACTCGTGCTCTGAGGGGCTTCACAGCGGGACTCGGCCTCGCACAGAACGGGGAGCCGCCTCGTCACGCCAAGGCAAGGGGGGCCCCACGAGGAGACTCTGGCTGGAGAATCTCAGCTCCTGCCACCTCCCAGCACCCCTAGGCCACGCCCGGCTTCCAAGGAACCCGAGACTGAGTGTCCTTGAGCACTTGATCCTTGGGTTAATGCTCAACCAGGGGGTTCTGCCCTGCCCTGCCCTGGCCTGCCCTGTGGTATTCTTGGTCGCTCCCACGCCTGCCCTACGCCACCTCCTCAGGCCTGGCTCACACCACGCGCCAGAGTCACCCTGAGACGTGATTTGGGGTTCACCTTCTCCAGCTCGCACCCTCCCGCTGACTTCCTGGGCCATGGCTCCCTGTGGCGGGAAAGCCAGGGGCCCGGAGCCCCATGGGGCCAGGGACGGCTCTGACACAGCAGCCGGACGGCCAGGACAGGGCAGAGCAGCAGGGTGTGGGGCAGGCCAGGTCGCTCTCACGGGGTCGCCACCTCCCCAGAGGTTCCCAGTGCCCCAGGGCCCCCAACTGAGGGCCCTTCTCCATGGAGGGTGGGGATGTGTTGGTGACCCCATCTTCCTGAGGGGACGGTCACCCCCTCCTCAGCTTTTCCATGCGAGGGTGGGCGGCAGGGGCTCCTCAGACCCCATCCGGGCCCCTCCAGGACCCATCCGTGGTGACGTCCCCCAGCATTCAGCTGAGACACTTGGCTGAGAGGAGACTTGGCGCAGCAGGGGGGTGACACGGAGATGCCCAGGGTCGGCCGGTCAGCGTGATGGCTGAGGGCAGCAGGGCGAGCCCTTCCCCTGACCGCCCAGGCAGGAGGACCAGAGCTCAGCAAGAGGCGCCCACAAGCTGGCCCTCAGCTGTCCCCCCATGGACATCCCTGGGTCTCAGTGAGGGGCCCGGGCCCCGAGGGGGACCGGCCCGTCTGCCTCTGGGTCTCCTCAGCACCCACGAGCCATCCCCGGCGGCGACCCTCCAGCCAGTTCAACTGCACGACGCCAGCTCCTCAGTGTCCCCAGGGGGCTGGGCTGGAATTGGGGTGAACGGGGGATTAAAACTCTGGGAGCAGAAAGTCAGCTCGGCCCCTGCACAGGGCCCGGGCACATCAGCGTCCCCACCGGTGCGGCAGCCGAGGCCTCGCCGGAATGTCCGTACCGGACCTCTGGGAGCGTTGTAGTGACCATGTGCTGACTCCTGTGGGGGGCGGGGTCAGCAGTGTGCGGTGTCGCCCACGCAGGTCACGACTGGCTTCCCGCGGCTCAGCCTGGGAGCGCAGTGTCCACGCAGGGAGACTCGGCTGTGGATACAGGGCCACGGGCATCCCTGTGGCCAGGACCCGATATGCTTCCAGCACCCTGACTCGTGTCACAGGGGCCTCCCTGGGGACACAACAGGCTAAGTCCGGCACTGGGAAGCTGTCACCAGCCACTGCAGCCTGGGTCGCTCCCCGGCCAGCAGACCCCACCCCCCGTCTCCCTACTGCTCCCCTCAGCAGTGAGTTTGAGTCCATCTGCCTGTTCTGCTCCCCACTCTGTCTCTGGGGATCCGCTCACCCCTTGACCCTCTGGCCTGTACCCCAGTTCTTATATGTGTAAATATATCCATCTTGAAAAGAAAAGAAAATTGAGCACCAGACTTGACACTTGAGCATTGCGGGGGTCAGGGGCTCCCCAGAAGCCGTCCCCAGTCCTGAGCAGCAGCAGCACATCCCACTGCCCCCTGGTGTCTGCAGTGGTCCAGGGGGCCTGGGGGTCTCCGTGGGCACCTCGCCTTCTCACAGAGGGAGAGCGGGTCGTCTGATTTTGAAATCAGGAGTCCGGGCTGCGACTCAGACTTTCTCTGCCCTAAGGAAGTTTGTGGAGTTTACTTGGGACTTGGGCACTGAGGGAGGGGAGCGAGGAGGGTCTGAGACAGTCGCCCTCGGGGGCTTCCCGTTGGCCCCTCCCTGAGCTGAGCCTTTCCCCAGCGAGCTGCAGTGGGGCTCCCTGCCCGGCCTTCAGAGACTGTCCCGCGCCCGCCTGCGTGCCCGGGGTCTCCCGCTCACAGATGCTCCTGGTGTCCGCGAACCGGAGCCACGCCGGGTCCTTTCCATCTCGCCCTGCGC